TTTTGGGTGCTGAGGTTTGCAACGGAGGCATTGAGTGGCAATCATCTTCGGTCTATAGTCTACTTTCAGCATGCATCTCCCATCCTGGGAGGATTCTCCCAACACCCTTTATTTGGTGCTCCCTTCTCTATCTGAGCTGCCTTTACCCCTAGAGTGTGTGGCTGGCCTCCAAGTCATGGAGTGAACCTCCTGTACTTATCTCGACTATTCTTGGATGTTAATCTCCTATTTTGTTACTTTATATTCCCCAGATGAATGCAGTCTTTCTATGTCTGTCCCTCTCTTTCTGACTCATTTCACTTAGCATGATACTTTTAAAATGAGCCCCTTAGCCTAAAGCCAAGGGGTGTGATGAGATCTGAGCAAGAATATTTCTCTTACTCCTCTGTTTCTGTATCTAACATCTCAGAGGAGCTTCATTCCTCTTAGTAGACCATTGGAACAGCTTGTCATGGCTTCCATTTCCTTGTTTTTATTTACTGTATGCACATATATCAAACTATAGTCATCTGAGTTGGCTCTGATTCTTCTATGAAATTAAAAGTACAGGTTTATTGAAAAGGTAATCTATCAACTAAATTGATTTCCATAATTGACACAGATTTTATTGGCTGAAGTGCAATTGCAGAGACAAGTGTCACAGCTGCTGCAGTGCTCACACACCTGACTAGCTGAGGCTCCACTTATCCGACTGAGGATTTGTGGTGGGGCTATTTTCTCTTGCACATTTTTTTTGTTTTGTCTATTATGGGGCCTTTTCTGGTGCAATGGCCTTGACCTTTTATTTTTTAGCATTCTCTGTTTCCATTTCCAGTTTTTACTTATTTTCTGTGATTTACAATAATAAGTTTCAGGCATCGAGTATTTCAATAGTACACCTACCACCATCAGCAGTGTCCTCCAACAAATGCATTTTACACATTCTCTTAGCCCAAACATAATTCATCATTTAACTCACTCTCTGTATCTCTATGTTTTCTTAATTAACACCTATAATTAAGGTAATAGTGGCTGAGGTGGGAATAATTTAAGTCTAAATGTGGACAGTGGACAGTAGTGTCACAGAGAAGCTCTCACTGATTAGGTGCTTATCCAGATCATCTAAATTGGCTTTTTATTGTTGTAGTTTGACTGTTCCAGTAGCCATTAAAATACGAAGTCCAAGTTGGAAAATCCTTATAGAAGAGTGGTAGTTGCTCAAAAGAAGTCTCTGACCAGAAGTCAGAGAAATTCATTTAAGAAAAATTGAGTGTGTAGCTTATTGGAACAGCAAACTTAGGTGTAAATCAGAATTACATATAGAGATTACCACTTTTCATTCCCCCTCTGGAGTGGGACTCAATACGTACGTGCATTTTTCTAATAGATATTAGAAAATATATGTATGCTTAAACATGATTTTATTATAAATTTCTATAGATTATAAATATTTGGGTAACTTTGTGCTTTGTCTAATAGATCTTGAAAGCAGTAAGACTATATGTTAACAACAGTGCCATTAATGATAGAACAAAAGGCCACTACTTTTCAGCTAAAGCTCAGCCTAATTCATTAAGGGCTGGATTTAATTCAGTAACATTTGAATTTTATAGCTATACACTTGCTGCTATAAAAACCACCTTTATTAAAAATTCCTATAGGAAAAATAACTTGGTAATTGTGAGTCTGAAATTCTCTGTTCCCTAACCTACTTTTCCCCATTGGCACAGTTGTTTTTATTGCACAGTGAGGCACCTATTATATTATTGCAGGACAGATTATGTTTTTAACAAGCCTCCCAGGAATTCCTATGGAGCCAGTCAAAAATTGGGAGACCCCCTATAATAAGCACTGGACACTAGGTCAAAGTTAGGCATCTATTTTATCCCTGTTACTTATTGGTCGATAGCCTTGAACAAACCTTGGAACTGTTTTGATCTAAAGCTCCCTATCAATAAAAAAGATGAATATTCTTTTTATGCTTCTTAAAGCTGTTCTGAAAACAAAAGTGTTGATGTAAATCTATGTGTGTGTGCCATATGTTCATTAACTAGATTTTCTGAGGACTGATGACCTATTCTATGTCAGGACTAGGTAGTAGGAATGAAGATGAGAGAAAGAGTTTTTGCTTCATGGCTTTTGTAGAGGTTATGTGGTAAAGGGCAGTGGAGAAAAGAATTACATGCAAGTAAATAAGATTATTTCTGGACATGATTCTGTTCATGAAGAAAATTAAGTTTGCAGTGATATACAGTGATTGATAGGGGAATGAAGCAATGTATGCTTTAGGTGGTTATAGAAAGCTTTACCATGTCTTCATTCGTGGAGATGTGAATAAGAAAAAGATAGCCATGCAGATCCTTTGGGTGGCTGGTGTTTGGGAAAGGAAGAACAGGACCAATTATGCTAGTGTGTTGAAGAAAGGATGAAAAGCCAATATGGCTATAGCACAGTTATGGAAGGTGACAGTGACCTCATTTAGGAAGGAGAGATAAACATCTGGGTCAGAACATGTAGTAGATAATTGATCATGAAAAAAAACTTATTGGATTGCAGCACTGTTTACAATAGCTAGAATCTGGAAAAAACCTGAGTGCCCGAGAACAGATGACTGGTTAAAGAAACTTTGGTACATCTACACAGTGGAGTACTATGTAGCTGTTAGAAAGGATGAAGTCATGAAATTTACATACAAGTGGCACTACATGGAAAGTATCATGCTAAGTGAAATGAATCAAAAAGAGAGGGACAGACATAGAAAGATTGCATTCATCTGGGGAACATAAAGTAACAAAATAGGAGACTAACACCCAAGAATAGCCGAGATAAATACCAGGAGGTTCACTCCATGGCTTGGAGGCCAGCCGTACACTCTAGGGATAAAGTCAGCTCAGATAGAGAAGGGAGCACCAAATAAAGGGTGTTGAGAAGATCCGCCCAGGATAGGAGATGCATGCTGAAAGTAGACTATAGACCAAACATGATTGTTACTCAGTTCCTCTTTTGCAAACCACAGCACCCAAAAGGAGAGAGAACTAAAGGGAGTGCCATGCCACAGAGGCAGGGTGGGATGGGGGATGGAGGCTAGGAGGGATACTGGGATTAGGGGTGGTGGAGAATGGGCACTGGTGGAGGGATGGGTACTCGATCATTGTATAACTGAAACCCAAGCACGAAAATCTGTAAGTCTACAACTGTACCTCATGGTCTTTCACTAATAAAAAATTTAAAAAAAAAGAAGCTTACTGGAGCTGGAGGGATAGTAAAGGGGGTGGGGGGTTAAGGTGTTTGTCCTGCATGCTACTTACCCCAGTTCAATCCCCAGCCCCTTATAGTCCTCTAGTACTACCAGGGTGTAACCTCAAGTACAGAACTAGGAATAGCTAGTAACCATCAAGTTGACCTAAACCACCCAAAGAAAAAACTTTAAATTTTGTTCTAATGCACGGAAAAAGTACTCTATTATTTTAACAGTTGAGTTATGCTTATTCATATTTTTGAATGGGCACTCTGGTTATCATTAAGAAGAGACTGTAGCAGATGAAGAGTAGAAAGAAGACCAGCAAGGCTATGTAGCATCTGACTAGTTAAAGCAACAAAGAGGCTAGTTAGATTTGGAATATGTCTGCAATTAGTGCTGGCAAGGATCTTAGGGATAGAGAGAAGAGGTAAATACAGAAAGTCCTCAAATAACAGTATTCTCTTCAGTGTAGCTTTTTATAGCATTAGTGAGGGGGAAAAATGATTCTGGGCTATAGTCACGGTATGAACGTACACATTATCCCCAAGTTGGTGTGATTTTTCTCAGGGTACTCCCAATTCCCTCCCTGGAGATGTGCTTGTTAGGTACATTGACATGTCTAAATTGTCATGATCTAAGAGAGTGAGTCTAAGAGCATGAGTCTTAGAGTGAGTCTAAGAGCATGAGTCATGCACTGGGAGAGCTCACTCTTCCCCAGGATTGAGTCCCACCTTATACACTGAGCTACTAGGATAGGTTCCTGACATCCTGAGCTAGGATAATCAGCTGAAAAAGTCAAGGAATACATCACTGTTCTTTACTATTAGATGTCTTCTGTCTTTATTAAGAAATTGACTCCTTTTTTAAAGTGTGCTACCAGAAATGTGCCAAGGAACTTACCTTTTTTTCTGTCAGTTAGCCAATGGAACAGGGATATGATTTTGTTATACTTCATTTCAATGTGTATTTGCCATGAACCTATCAGTGATATTAAGTGAGAACTTATTGTATGCTGATATAAATTTAGCACTTATATTTGTGATCTATTAAAATCTTCCTGCATTAACTGTACTCAGAAATAATTATAGCACTTAGTAAGTCCCCCAAATAATGTAGGTGTGTGGAGAACCTATGCACCTACTCAAAGTTGAGTACTTTAGAAATTTACTCTAGTGTCTTAAATTTTTAAACAAGAGTACAATATTTATATATTTTATATTACCATACTCCCTACCACCACCAAAATATCATGATTTAAATGATGGTGACATTTTCGTTCCTTCCACTACCTACTTTAGGTTAACTCAGTCCTATTATCAGTGTTTGAAGCTTTGTTTTCATTGGACTATGACTATTCCCTTCCTTTCCTTCTTTAGATAATACCAATGAGTGAGATCATCTGGTATACATCCTCCACTCCCATTTATCTTGTAGCAAAAAGGCAAGACTACAGTAAAAAGTTTTGTGGTTTTTTTTTTAAGCCCTTCGAAATGTATAGGCTCATTTGTTTATTTAAAAATGCACAAACCATCCTAGCTTCCTGGATAATATGTTCTAACCTCAGTCCTTCTGTCCTTATTCTGTTTCTGAAATTTTTACAGTATGTAAGTGGATTAAATGGGTGGAATATTTTATATCATGCAATTACTTTTTTTAAAAGAAAACATAACTAGAGATATTGCCTAGGTATGCCAGTTGTTAATCATTAATTCATGTTTCAAGGAAATACCCCAAATCTCTAGGCTTTGTTACTAAATCTTACATTCCTTTTTATTTTCAGGAAAGCCACTAGTGAAAACCTCAAGGATGACTGTGATCAACATCAAAGAGCCTGAGATCACAGTTGATGTGGGAAGCACCATCAAAACAGTCCAGGGAGTGAATGTGACAATTAACTGCCAAGTTGCTGGTGAGAAAATCATTCGTGTGTCAATTCATTTGCCAAACATTAATTAATCCTGTGGTAGGTTAGAGAATGTGAAGGTAAATATATATTCTTCTCTTAAAGATTCAGGGCTAGTAGGAAAGCTGTTACAAATTTTGAAAATTGCTATAAAATTGAGACAGGTATGATAAATGGAGGTGATTTTTTTGTCTTTTAATTTAGATTCGTACACTTAGCTTTGATGGAATGTGATAACAATGGAGGCAATGGATATTCCAATTGGATAAGACTGAGAAAAATTTATGGAATTCTAAAAGAATTTAAGGGAATGGCTTGTGTTTTGGTGTAGCTGGAGACTAGTATGGAGGAATGGTATAAAGGAACTTTAGTTTTAGATAGGTGGGTGGCAGCTATACAATAAAAGACCTTTATGGCTTGGCCAAGAAGTTCAAACAAAAGTAGGTAGTTTGATATCAGAGAAATTTACTTCCAGAAGAAAGAAAACACTACAGAGAAGAGACATCAAAGTAATTTAGAGAACAGACTATAGAGTCCTGGGAATAGGACCATGGTGGTAGAAAGATAAGGAAGAGATGGACAATATTAAACCAGAATCTGGAGCTTACATCAGAAGTAAGCATGAGTCTTTAAGGAAAATAGCCAGGCCTGTTAGAAGCTCTAACATAGACCTTGCCCTCTGTTAGGCCTTGCAAACTCACAGGCTTAAGGGATCATAAAGTCATACTGAATTGGAGTAGTAGTGGACAATAGAAGATGGCTTTAGTTGAGAAACAAAGATCACCAGAATAAAGCCAAATAAAGCCCATCTGATAATTCAACATTCCCATACCATGGACCACAAGTTTGTGACGTCTACCCATAAGGATTTTCATTCCCACAGTGGCTAGAAGAAATGAATTGAGCCTGGGCCCAGCTTCAGCGCCCATTGTTGTCCTCATAATGTATACTCTATTTGTGGTACACCCGACCATGTGCTCCCATGTTATCCAAGTCTGCAGAGTAAATAAGCCATGGGGCCCCTCTTTTAAAGTTTTCTTCACTTACATATCAGCCCATCATTAGAGGATTTTCCTCCCTTTAGTGATTTATACAGCCAAAGAACCTATTTTAGAATAAGTGGGAAGACCTTAACCTAAAGTATGTTGTTTCCAAAGAACAACCTAATCTTACCTTATGTTATGAAATGTTCCAAGAACTCCAGAAAAATCAGAAATATTAATTTATCTCTATCATCACATATTTCCTTCTTTTCTTTAAAGCTTCTCTTGGTCTGTGTATCCAAGTTCATCTGTGAAGTATTCTGGAAACAGTTCCAGATAGGGAATGAGACAAGAACCTCTGAAGGGAGTAAGCTGCCCTTCTTACAGGGACTGAGGGAGAAGATAACTCTGTCAGTTCCCAGCAGATCGCTGTGAACACTTGCCTCAAAGATGGGCGCCATATGGAGCTATAACAGACCACACCACATTGTATCTTGATTATTGGCATTGATAGATGTAAAAAAAATATATTGGAAGCAAAACACAGAAAAACTAGGATTTGGCATTTGAAGGAATTTAAGAAAATTTGAATCCATGAGGTAAATTATTTACTATTGGGTGCCCCAAATGCTAAAATCACTTTAAACTTTTCCACTTCACTTGGAACCCTGCCTCCTCAACTTCATCCAAAATCTTATTCTTCGTAACCTGAGCACTGAAATATTATGTCCAGTGTTGAGTTTCTGATTTTTACTTTTTGGGGTACTTTTGTTTTGATTTTTGCTGCCCAGACATATTACCTAGCTTATTAAACATGAATCCATTTGTATTAATTATGAATAACTAAAATAAATCTCCACATATTTGTCATTGTGGTTTTTATCCTAAATAAGGATTTTATTCACTATGTGTGGGGTCTGATTTTGATTATTCAGAATCAGAACTTAACCTTGTGCTGTGAATTTACCTTGTACTGAGTTTTCATTCAAAATCCTGATAGTAGTAATGCTGAATTATAGAGGAATTACTTTTACTTTGCTGTCATAGGTGAATTTTAGGGCACTTTATGGCATATTTTTTAAATTTAAATTACTATTATTGGCTTATACTATTATGGACTTATACTAATAAATATATGTATTAGACTCACCATTCTCACAACCTTGATTTTAAGACCTCGTCATCATAAAAAAAGACACTCTACTCATTCTTTTATTCTGATCTTTTTTACCTCCGCTATCTACCATGTTTTTTACCAAGTATACAAGTAAATTTTGTTGATTTTGGTCATTAGTTTGCTTTAATTATTTATAATCCACACATTAGTGAAATCATCCTGTAATTGTTTTAACTTCCCTACTTACTCCATTTAGCATAATTACCTCAAGGTCTATCTATTTTGTCCTAAAGGACATAGTTTCATCTTTTTAACAGCATAGTAGTATTTCATGAAGTATGTATATCACAACTTCTTTATCCAGTTATCCACTAGTATATATAGAGAGAGATTGACTAAATGTTTTGGCTAATGTGAATCATTCTTATTAAATAATAAATGGCCATAAATTTGATAATATTGCATAATTTAAAGAGTAATTCATTCATAGATGTTTGAGTTGTTAGCAGTTTTTTATTAAACTTTTAACTTTTATACATGAATGCATTTACTTTAAAAAATTCAGGCTCATGGGTTATTTTCCATTCTTAAACATAAAATGTACTAAGCAATAAGTATGATTAGACTTCGTCATAAAAATGATCCAATCTGGGGCCGGAGTGATAGTACAGTAGGTACAGCGTTTGCCTTGCACGCAGCTGACCTGGGTTCGATCCCTGGCATCCCATATGGTACCCCCAAGCACCGATAGGAATGATTAGACTTTGTCTTAGAAAATGATCCAATCTGGGGCTGGAGTGATAGTACAGTGGGTACAGCATTTGCCTTGTACGCAGCTGACCTGGGTTCGATCCCTGGCATCCCATATGGTACTCCCAAGCACCGATAGGAGTAATTCCTGAGTTCAGATCCAGGAGTAACCCCTCAGCATTGTTGAGTGTGGCCCAAAAGAAAAAAATTAAAAGGTCCAATTCTTGTAGTTATATGTTGGTAGTATATGAGTTCAGAAGATTGAAGGAGAGATAAGAGTTAGAGGAGGAGGGAAGGTTTCTCCAAATAAAGTGTGCAAAGGTCTGAGGTAGAATGAACATGCACATTCTGGGCTCTGAAATATGACTGGTATGGCAGGGGAGTGAAGGGAAGGGAGGGTGAGGTAGGAAGGAGAGATTGGCATGACTGAGAGGTGGGTGAGGGGAGCAGGCAGGGACACCATCATGCATGTCATGCATATTCTTGTGCATTATGGTACAATTTGGGATTTTATCCTAAGAGCAAGGGAAAAATTTGAAGGATTTACATATACGAGAAAATTATTGAACTTATGATGTAGAAACCAATCATTGAAGAATCCGTGGTGAGCAGTATATTATTTAGAATAAGATAGACTCCAATCATATTAGAGTCCAATATATAAAGAAACAAACACAATAGAAATTATTATTGTTTCCTAAAACCCCAAATATTATCCCTGGTCAACTGCCCCAAAGAGTTATTTAGGTCATAGGATGTTTCTCAGCTATGTTGAACCTAGGCCTTCCAGAGTCTCACAGTTTAATCTGTCACCCAGTAGTGAGTAAACACAGCATCAAGGATGGTTTCCAAAGACCACAGCTGGAAGCACACACTATTGTCCTCATGTTCCCTCTTAGTCTCCTGCTCACTAACACCCACAAGTGATAGGAAGTATAGCCCAGCTGAGTACCTAGGAGAAGAAGGAAACAGGTTTTGTGAACTGCTTTCATTACCTACTACAATCAGCATGGAGAAATGTAGAATGCAAAACATCTCCTTTCCTGGCTTCTGTGATTCTTTAGAATAATTTCCAGGGCTCATATCTGAGTTATTACATTCCTCCGCTTTTTTGCACCAAGTCATCAGAAAAGCTTCTAGAGCCCTTCCTGTCATGGTGCACCTTTCAGTGGATGCTCTACCATAAGATGTTGACAAGCTGCCATGTCATGAGCCGCTTTCCAAATATAACAGAAATATCCTGTCTGGGACTTCTAAGAGAATCTTATAGCACCACTCAACCTGGCGGCTGCATGAAGATTAAAGGCAGTAATCTTATAATCATATTAAGTTACAGCCCATTATGACCAGGCTCATTTATTGATCTTTTCAGGCAACAGGGAAAGCATTGTGTTGTTGATAGGATAGGCCAGAAAGGGCGAAAAGTAAGACCTGTCCTTTTCCTTTCCCTTTTTAACACAAAGCATACCAGGAGTCTTGCGTGTAAAACCTATTCAAGTAATTTGTCAACAACATAGCCTTGAACTTTGTTCTATGATAAAGTACATTTTCTGTCATTTCTTTCAGACCTTTTTTTTTCTGAAGGAACTATCACATCACAACAGGTTAGGGTGAAAAACAAATTGTACAGTATGACAAGAAGAGAACTGACAAAGCTACACATGTATTCTAGAAATTTCACTCCTCACCACAGTCTTAGGGTCACAAGTGATAGCATGTACATTATGAAAGAAGAAAACATTAGTGCCTGAGATATATATAGTACACTGGGTAAGATGCTTGTCTTGCATGCAACATACATGAGTTTGATTCCGGGCACCAAATATGGCTATCTGAACATATGATCTCATGAGCACTACTAGGATTGATGCCTTAGCACAGAGCCAGGTGTAAGACATGAGCACAGCTTGGGACCACCCCCGCCCCCAAACACACCAAAAAGAATAGAAAAAATTGAAGAATTCAACAATTCAGGAACATGTGTGCCATTATTCAGATCTTTTATAGTAAGTCTAGCAGGATGGCAAGCAACACTGTGTACTTGTTAAGTTGGGGATGAGTGGAATCAAATGTATAAGCTTGAATCACCATCCTGTTTTTTTTTTAAGTGAAAGGTCAAGGAGTGGAATATAGCATTGGAAAGGGGCTCTATCGCTCTGTAGTCATTCAGAAATTCAAGCTATTTTCACTTTAGGCAGTTTTAATCTTGTTGAGTTCTACTTTTCTCATCAGTGAAATTTGGAATAATACCATCTCATAGGATTACTGGCAAACACATGATCGTTTAAAAAATGCTTGTCTTATAGGAAATGTTCAATGAAAGTTATTTTTCCTCTAATAGATTTGGGGTTAAAATTAATAATGTATCTCCTGACCAGTATGTATTCAATATACCAATGTGCTAAACGTCAATATTAGGAGTGTATGGCTGTTTATTTTGAAGAGAGTCGCTGGCATACTCAAACATTTTCTGAAGGATCCCTGTTACCTCCTTGATTTTTTTCTTCCCTTTTATTGACTATGTTTGTAATGTGTCAGTCAGGGAAGAACCAGAAAGACTCAAACGCATCTTTTAGGTGCCATCTTCTGTGTGAGGGTCATAATATCAGGCAGGAAGCCCTCCCCCCAACAATAAAAACAACAAAAAGTGAAATAGCAACATCTTCTTCACCTGCAAGTTTATTATGCAGATTCATAATTAATATGCAGATTCATTCATTAGAGTGAGTCTAATAGAGATTTGCTGATTAAGAACAAAGGCTGTAGAATTTCTCTCCCCTTAGCACTGTCACTCTGTGACACTTTTATAGAAACTGGAGGTTTCTTTTAACCTTTGATATCTCAAATGTTTCTGTTTCCTCCCACTTCTCTCACCTGAAAAATCAACCCTTTTGTTAAAATGTTCTGTCTCGTCTTATAAATTGAATTATTTGCATGGGGGTGTGAGGCTGAGAGTAATGAAAGAAACTTAACTCACTTCTGGGAATGTTAATAAATGTCTCCTTGGATCCTCTCCCTGACCCTCCTCCTCCCCCTCCATCCCTCACATTTTCTTTCTCCTGCTTCATCTCTGCTTCTCTGGCGTATGACTGCTCTGCAGGACCACTGACCCTGAGCAGAGAAGGTGATACTGATGAGAGCAGGGAGTCCTGCTGCTGGGTTTATATGGAGAGAGTCCCATGATTATTAGTTGACACTCTGCAACTAAGTCATGGAGATAGTGTCCACTTCCTCATTCCTTTACTCATTCTCTTCTGTTGGATTCATTTGGTTTAGTCCACTTGCTCTGCCTCTTTTGCACTAGAACAGCCTTAGTTTTTATTAGGGTTCTCATACTAGTAAGCCCTATTATAACTCTTCCTTGAAGGTGGCAAGTGTGGGCAATCCTGCAAAAAATCTTTGCAAGTAGCCACCTGCAAAAAAAGAAAATGCCTTGTAGAAAATTATTTGCAGACTCCCACTTCCCTTGTGCTTTCAAAAGAGAAGTGGCTAGATGTTTTGTTTTTCCAACTCATTTTTCAGAAACATTCTGAATGCTTTGATAGGTGTGTGTGTGTGTGTGTGTGTGTGTGTGTGTGTGTGTGTGTGTGTAAGGAAAAATTGAGCTCAGGGCCCCAAATCAGGTTGGCATGCCCAGACATTATTATTATGCTCTTGCTCTCCCTAGTGGTGCTGCAATAGAAAGTCAGCTCCTTTGCTGCTCACCTACATCTTTCCCCCAGGTATATTTAAGGACCATGCCAGGCTGGCCTTTCTCATGCACTTGAGCATCAAGTGTCACAGTTTTGCTTCTTGCAGATGGACAGAAATCAAAGATTATCCCACCTCAACCCTGTCAGCAGTCCATTGCCTCCTCCATCCAGTGTCCTCGTTTCCCTAGTGATTCACCTTGAATTATGAGTAAATTGCATAAGAGAACTAGTAAAATGCTTTGGCCGCCAGATAGGCCTAAAAAAAAAAAATCTCTAATACATCAAAGTAGCCAAGAGACACTGAATTCAGACAAAGTAGCTAGTTGTTCATGAAGAATCATGAGATTCTCCTACCTCACCTTACTTCCTGCCAGAGAACTCAGGAACAGCAAGAACCTAAGGAGGAGCCATAATGAGGGTTGTTGAGCTGGATGCTACTGATTGGACGGCTGGTAGATATTTTCTTAAACCAGATTCATTGACAAGTAACAGATAAGAAGTTGTTTCTTAAAGGGCTCTTTATCCTCAACAGTTACCTTGAAGAGCACTCAGTCCTTGTCCCTAAAGGAAAAAAAATCCATCCCCAACTCAGGAAAAGCTAAGGACAAATGGTCTCACTCTGATTCCTTCTGGCTTTAGCAGCGTTTACTGGGATCTGACCAGCTAGCTCTGCCCTGGATATGTGTTGAAGTGTTCTCCAAGTAAACTTTTTGAGCTGAGTCAGCAGGCTAGATGGTGCATGGAGAAGGTTCTTTCTGCTCCCTGCAGACTTGTGGATTAATACCGCAGACTTTCTGTCTCCCTGCTCATTCAGAGCTTCCTCACCAGTCCATCTCAGAATGCGTAGCCAAAGATGGGGCCTGTGTGCCTGCATGTCAGCTGCAGGAAAAACCTTTAAAGGAATTAATGCAACACCCTTGCCTTTGTCTACACAGGATACTATAATAAAACAGCATAAGCTGGAAAGATTAAACAACAAAGTTTACTTTTCACCGTTTCAGAGACTGGGACTTTCATGATGGAGGTGCTTAGCTCATTCAGTTCCTGCTGAGGACTTTTTTGGGGTGTAAAGACCACAACCCAGCAGTGCTCAGGGAAAATCACAGTCATCGTGGTGGTGCTGGGGAAGGAAAAACAGTTCATGCAATCCCAAGGATTGAAATAGGGGATCCTGGTCCCTGGTGAGGACTCTTGACTCACTCAGAAGCAACTATATTTCTGCTTTATCCACATATGGTAGAAGGAGAGAGCTCACTAGTCTCCTCGGAGGGCATTGGCCCATCAGAAGCTTCTTTCGGAGACCTCCCCTAGATCAAAATGCTTCCAAAGCCCCACCTCCTGCTCCCATCTCAGTAAGGCTTATGACCTCAAGTGTGGGGAAGGACACAAATAGGATCAAACTGCTAGAGGCCCGATTTCCAAGGTCAAATATCCCATCCCTATTCACATTCACACATTGTCCATCTCTATCAGGCAAAAAACTTGGAGAGAACGATGCACTTTTTTTGTGTTTGTTTATTTTCCTGTGGTGCTACTAATACATAGTTTTGTGTTCTCTTGTCCTAAGAAAATGCAGTCTTCAAAATAATATAGTTGTATGTGTGGCGTAAACTCTGATAAGAGTCTAGCATCTTTTGTTAATTTACATGTATGTGTTTTATAGATTTTGACTTTTTATTTAAGTACATGCACAGAAAAGTATACATATAGCAATGGGACCAAGGTTGAGAAATAGGATTACCTATGGCCCAGCATCTTTTCCAGTCTCAGGGAAACCAACTCCTTGATGACTAACAGTATAAAATGATGGTTCTAGGTTTTGGGGGGTTTTTGGTTGTTTTATTGCTTTTTTTTTTACTTAGAGAAATGGAATTTTCTAGTATGTGCTTTTTTTTGTCTGGCTTTATCACAAAACATAATTTATGTTTCATATACTTAGTTATTCATCTTTTTAATTAATGTGTAGATGAGGTTCTGGGATCTTTTAATATACTTTTTTTCAAAAGAATTATGGCATTCCCTTTTCACTTGGCAAGTCTCATTTGTGAACAGCTTGCTTCCTCTTCTCTTAACTGACCTCCCTCTTCCTGCCTCATCAGTGTAAGCTTTAAAACAGCGAAGAATCTGAAGACACTGAGAAGTCAGAGGTTATTATTTAGTTTGGCCAAAGCATAGTAGAAGACGCCCAAGCAGATGCTTCCTGTAGAGCAACCCCTGTCAGGGCTGCCAAAGTACTATAAATGTCTCTCCGTGGTCACCTGAATGTGTTCGTTCAATGGGTTTTTTTTTTCTTCTTAGGTGTACCTGAAGCTGAAGTCACTTGGTTCAGGAACAAAAGCAAACTGGGCTCTCCTCTCCATCTGCATGAGGGGTCCTTGCTGCTCACAGACGTGTCGTTCTCCCATCAGGGCTTGTACACTTGCAGGGCAGCCAATCTCCATGGAGAGCTGCTTGAGAATACCCAGCTACTGATCCTAGGTAAACACTCAAGGCTGGCTGCAGGTCTCTTTGAGATGACTGTCTACCCATTCTTTTCTCTTCCCTGATTCCATCAAATATGTACTGGTAAAACCTTACGGCCAGAAAGATAGTACAAGGGTGGAGATGCTTGTCGTATACATGACCAATCCTGGTTCTATTCCCAGCACTGCATATGGTCCCCTGTGCACTGCTAAGAGTTAATGCCTAAACAAAGAGCCAGGAGTAAATCTTAAGTACTGCTAGGTATAGCTCCAAAACCCAAACCAGTAACAAATAAATAAATAAATAAATAAGCAAACCCATTTTTATCCCAATTTTAGGACCTTTCAATGGAAAGAATTGGGAACCAGGGAGAGATCACTTTGAACTGGGTTCTAGCACTTAGAATGTGACCTTGAATAAAGCTATTCTGATTTACTAACCCTTAGGTTCCAGTCTGATGAAGATCTGTAAAACAAAGAATGTCAATATTAGAAAGTGGGAAAGTAGTCAAACATAGCTACAACTTCTTTCCACATTAAGACCCTCTTTGAAAAGCAGAGGAAAATTACAGATGCCCTCCTCCAGAAAAACTCATACGTGCAAATTTTTTTCGTGCAATTTCAGGATATGTATTACCTAGTCCACCTAGAATCCACATCTGCTGCCACTCCCTCTCTACCTCTTTGCCTTAGTCCATCCAAGAAACTATTAACAAAATTCCACAAAATAGTATCTTATGTTCAACAGAAAGTTGTTTTCTTATTTCTAGCAGCCCATAGTTCAGTGTACCAGCATGATCCAGATCTTCATCCGGGTTTCAGACCAATAGCCTTTTGCTTTGTCCTCATCTGGCAGAAGGAATGAACCTGATCTCTGGAGTCCCTTTTTCAATGGCACTTGTCTCAAACATGAATTTCACCTTCAAGAACAAGTCCCATGCAGCCACCTCCCAAAATCATTCCCTGATTTAGTTAAGATTTCAACATGAATTTTGGAGGTGCACAAATATTTAGACCATATTACCTCCCATACGTAGGAACCCCTGATTAAAGAGTCTAAGACAGTTCTGGCATAAAACTTTTTTTTAATAACAGAAATATTTGGGACAACACCCAACATATAATCTTGCCCAGAGATGGATTCAACCATCTTGCAAATTATCACTCCTTTTGCTTTCACAAGAATATTCTCTGCTCTCTTCTCCACTGAAGATTTAAAAAAAAAAAGAGTAAAAAAGAAAAATGCTTTTTGTTTTTGTCATTTTTAATAAATTATTAGAAAATATATGGTAGCCTTCTCCCCAAGAGAATGTTCTTTTTGTAGGGTAAGATAGTGAAAATATGAAAAATACAAGTAATTACATACCATGTATACATATCCATATCCACATTATGGATTTATTCAAGAAAAATAATTAAACCTTATATTTGTATTTTCACATCTCAATTTGATTGTATTCCATAGCATAGGGTCTGGTGCTTCTCCACTCAAATTTCAGAAAGGCCCAGGTGGGTTTTTATCTCACTAGTGGTTGCATAAACCCCCAAACATCTTAAAACACCAGAAATCAATGCAGTGAAGAATGTTATTTGTTTTGTGTTGGGTTTTACCTGATTGAGCTTCTAAAGTTTGGGGTCCAGAGACTCTTGCCCCACACTGAGTTATGGTACTTACTGATGGGCTTTTTCCTCTTTAGTAACCCTTCCTTGTTACCTCTGCTAACAAAATTGAAAGCCTAGGCTATGTAGTTGCTACTGTAGCTTTGCCAATGAAGTGTGTACATTCTATGAGCCAGTTCCTGCAGCATTCCAACTCTAATACAGTGTGACGGTGAACATGCTATTTGAAGAGCATAATGTCTTCCTTTTTTAATCAAACTTGATGGGGGGAAATCGCCATTTAAACTGCTATGGGTTTTTTTTAAATCAAAAGTCTTGGTTTACTAGTCAGAGTTTATTAGGATTTATAAGTGCTTTATGAATGTAGATGTAATGTCCTCTTTTTTTTTTCAATCAGCCCAAAATATATCTTTGCTCTTAAAGGAGGGATTTTACAAAGGAAGCTGTTTCTTGCCAGTTTTCACTGATTCGAACTGTAATAAGACACTTAAAGCTAAATGAGATAAGTTTTCATTTATTCATATGATCAATGAATAAATATCACTGAGTATTTAAGGTCCATATAGATCTTTAGGATAATATAAGATATGATCTCTAGGATAATATACAGTTTATCTAGAAAGAGCAAATGGAAATACACAAAAGAAGAAAAAATCAGAGCCAGAGCTATAATACAGAAGGTAGGGTGCTTGCCTTGCATGCAACTGACCCAAGTTTGATCCCCAGCATTCCAGAGCCCTGTCAGGAGTAAGCCCTGAGCAACGCTAAGTGTGGCCCAAAGTGATATATATATATATATATATATATATATATATATATGTATAGAGAGAGAGAGAGAGAGAGAGAGAGAGAATCTTTAAGGATAGGAGCGACTAACATTTGACTGAAGGAGATCCAGTGATTTTGAAGTGGGGATATAATTTTCCCTTTGACTATTAGGAAAAAGCAAGGATGTAAAGGCCTTGAGTTTTACATTCTTGAGTCAATATCCAACAATACATTTAAATATTCTTGAGGGAATTGAATTAATTTAGTACAGGAGGTAACACATTTGCCTTGCATATGGTGGAACCCAAATAAATTCTTGGTATTGCATATGGTCCCCTGAGCACTGGCACTCTGAACACAGAGCCAGGAGTAACCCCTAAACATTGCTGGGTATGGTCTACCCCCAAAAAGAAAAAAGGAAGTAAGGAAGGGAGGGAGGGGGGAGGGAGGGAGGGAGGGAGGGAGAAAGGAAGTAGTCTATTTCAGTTTTCTTGGGGGAATTCATAATGGGGATGAGGAGAGAGAATGAATTGAATAATTTGCCACTTTGTGTTCATGTGAAAACATGTGAAATCATGGTTTTTCAGAGATTCTTTATCATTTTTTTATTTTTTAGGAAACTTTTATATATTTTAGTTGTCAATTTTATTTTTGTATTTTTAAAAAGTTGTTCGCAACATTATATTAAATATTCATACACCAATACCACCACCATTACACCTTCCCACCACCATATTTTCATTATGAACCCCAAACCCTGCCCCCAAAGCATAACTGAAATAATTTATTTTGTATTGCTTGCTATGAATAATCGACTAAAAATAAGTCAAAAAAGGTTTCTTAGAGAAAAATGTGTTAAGATTGTTATATGTGAAGATTATTGAATTTCACCCAGTAGTCATTAAGCCCTTCTATAAGAGATTAGTAACATGTTATTAAAGTTGAGCCTTGTGTGTGTTTATGTGTGTATATATATATATAGATATATCCCTAAAATTGATTACCTTCTCAATCCAATGTGGTGTGCTATTATTGGTATATTGGAGCAAGTGGAGAGTGGCTGAGAGCAAGGTAAAGATTGAGTTCTGGAGGTATTCAGCTGCCAGGCCTGGCTCCATTGGGGAGGGGAGGGACCTCACCTGGCCCCTCCAGATTGCCCAGAATGAAACAACCTTGCATGGGGTCTGGTGGCATGGCTATGGCATATTTTCTAGGCTCTCCTCTGAGAGATTTACATTGAGTCTCTAAATCATGGCTGTTAATGAGATTATATGGCGCCAGCCTCAGTTTGTGGGTATGACTGCCAAGCTTCCGGAAAAAAGGGGGAGATGGGGGGAAGTCACCCATTCCTGGTTCCATTAAACCTGGAATTTTCAGTTACAATTCCCACATACCTGGGTCTTTAGCATTTTTAGGTAAAGAAACAAAAGTGCAAAAGTTACTGAATGACTGAGCCAGTTTCAAGGGAGGCTTCCATAAGCCAAAGTATGATGTTTTTACAGTGTGCCACATAAAAATATTTTCCTCCGCCCCTCTCGGAGAGCCCGGCAAGCTACCGAGAGTATTCGATATGCCAGACACAGTAACAACAAAGTCTCCAATGGAGACGTTACTGGGCCCGCTCGAGCAAATCGACGATCAACGGGAGGGCCTTTACCTTACCTTAATTATATATTACATTTAATGTCTATAATTTAAAAACTACCATAAATATATAAAATCCCCAAATCACTATCATTTTATGTAAATGGCTTACAGTCAAAAGAAAAAAGAACAGTGATGCTGCAGTAAACTCAGGTGTCTGTATGTCTTATTTGCCATCCTTCAAATACCTAACAAGATCACAAGCATGTACCAGGCCCGACTTGAACACTCTCAAAATAACCATCAATTTTAAGAGCAAAATTCTTGCCTCTCTCTCCATGCCAATAGACGTGTCCAGGAAGAAAAAAAAGGGTGGGAGTTAACCTAGGGAATGTGAACTGCATGCTTCAGAAGATGCAAGGAGGGAAGGAATGAGATTCTGCTCCTTTTTTCAAGAGAATTTAGGGATGTATACCATTCGGTTTAATAGATGCTCAATTCTTTTTGTCCAGTGAAATCGATAAGCTGCGATACTTCAATTTTGTTACTTTCTGTTCTGGTGAACTAATTCCAGATGACTTCAACCCTGATTAATAATTTTTAATGACAATCTCTTTTCTCCTACTGAGGCATAAAAATTTAGATTATAAAGAAAATTTGCAGCATTACAGCTGGACTTGATTCGTCAAAGAAAAGAACACTTAGGCTCTTTTTAATCAAGAAATTTCTGTGCTGCATAACTACCTTTAGGTACAATAACAAAATGCTTTCATCTAATAGATATTATAAAAGCTAAATAACAGGGGGTATGGTGCTGCCAGCAGGTCAATCTGTACCTGTGAGGCGAGTGCATCAGCAGCCTCATGGCGCCTTCAGACTTCCAGATACCCCAAAATTGCTGCTGTGCCTTTGGCCAGACCCCAAAAACTTGGGGCAAAGTTTACCAAGAAAGTAAACATCCAAAAGTTAGGTATGTGAGAGACACACCCACAAACCACCTCTGGCTCAGCTATATAATTGGAGGCATGGCCTCACTGGTTCCTGATCGAACTGCTTAATGTCTATGATCCCAGAGACTCGAAAACAAATCTCAAAACCCAGCGGCTTTTGGCAGAAATGCATCCTGTTCCTGCAGTAGGCTACTGGTGCTGGGCCACCCCAGATGGGAATAGGTTTTGTGCCTTGGCCTGTTCCCCCTGGCGGCCCGCTGGCCATCATCCTCCAGAGGCTACTGGACAGTCAGGTTTGGGCCCACAGTGACAAGACACATGGGGCCTCATGGGATGAGGGTGTAGCCGGACCTTTCCTCCCCATCCCAATGAGACCCCGAGTCGCCACCCACGAACGGCCTCTCTGGCTCCTGATCAAGCTGCTTAATGGCCATGATTCTAGAGACTCAGAAACGAATCTCAGAACCCAACGGCTTTTGGCAGAAATGCGTCTGGTTCCTGCAGTAGGTTACAGGCACTGGGCCACCCCAGGTGGGTATAGGTTTCGTGCCTTGGCCTGTTCCCCTGGTGGCCTGGTGGCCGCCATCCTCCAGAGGCCACTGGACAGTCAAGTTTGGGCCCACAGTGATGAGACACGCTGCTTAACAGCTGTGATCCCAGAGGCTCAGAAACAAATCTTGAAACCCAGTGGCTTTTGGCAGAAATGCGTCTGGACCCCCGCAGTAGGTTACTGTCGCCTGGCCACCCCAGGTGGGAAAGGGTGCTGTCCCTCCGCCTGCTCCCCCTTGGCGACTTGGTGGCCACCATCCGCCAGAGGCCACTGGACAGTCAGGTTTGGGGCCACAGTGATGAGACACGTGGGGCCTTACGGGATGGGAGTAGAGCCAGCCCTTTTCTCTTCATCCCAATGAGACCCCAAGTTGCCGCCCACAAAAGGCCTCTCTGGTTTCTGATCGAACCACTTAAAAACTATGATACCAGAGACTCAGAAACAAATCTCAAAACCCTGCAACTGTTGGCAGAAATGCATCCGGTGCCTGCAGTAGGTTACAGGCGCTGGGTCAACCCAGGTGGGAATAGGTTTCGTGCCTTGGCCTGGTCCCCCTGGCGGCCCGGTGACTGCCATCCTCCAGAGGCCACTGGTCAATCAGGTTTGGGCCTGCAATGACAAGACACGTGGGGCCTCACAGTGTGGGGGAGAATCTGGCCCTTTCCTCTCCGTCCCAAAGAGACCCCAAGTCGCTGCCCATGAATGGCCTTTCTGGCTCCTGATCTAGCTGCTTAATGGCCATGATCCAAGAGACTCAGGAACAAATCTCGGAACCCAACAGGTTTTGGCAGAAATCCCTCTAAATTTAAGTGTTAAAATTTCAGAATTTCAAAATCGTGTGGCCACTACTGCAGCCATGAAACATCATATGTTATTCATAACCAGGAATAGAAAACAAAGTGTCTACTGTTGCCTTTTTAGCAGATCTGAGTGTTGGGGTACAATCCCAAAAAATAATGGTGGGTCTGGTGTCAAAATTTGAATGTAATCAAAGTAGAAAGAGAGTAATGTGGAAATCATCTGCCCCACAGGTAGGGGAGGGTGTGGGATATGGGTATACTGGGGTTTTTGGTGGTGGACAATGGGCACTGGTGGAGGTATGGGTGTTTCATTGTATGACCGAGACTTAAACCCAAAAGCTTTATAACTGCTCTCATGGTGATTCAATAAACAAAATTATAAAAAATGAAACCCAAAACAGTAAGGTGGAGTTCATGCCCAATTCAATCAGCTAATCAGTGGCTGAATAAATAGCAGTACTCCTACATAATAAAAAAAAGGCATTAAATAACAACAGGATGATTATAGAGAGCACTGCTGCATAATATGTAGGAAAATGTCTATGAGAATAGACTATTCATTCTCATCACAAGGAGAAAACTCTCTTTCTTATTGTTACTACATGATAAGATGAATACAAACTGCATTCATTATCATTTTCCCTCAGTGTGTAGACTATTATGCTGAATGATATATGGAGACTACATGTAAACTATTATGTGTAGACTATTATGCTGAATGACTCAATTTTACACAATTATGTATCTCAGTTATTTCTCAAAACTGGGGGCAGGGAGAATGAAAATTTATTCCAGGACTTTTGCATATATTAGATAATAAAGATGTGTTAGCTTTTTAAAAATTGTTTTTATATATGGTTTCATTTACCTACACACTTACAGGGACCCAATGGTACTAAGGTAGAAAGTGCTTTGTAGTAAAGAACTCTTGAAAGCAATATGTCTGATTCTCATTACTGACCTTGCTTTTTCAAGGATCAAATATAGGGAAAATTATGTTTAAGTAAAATAATAGTAATAACTGCCTTACCCATAGACATACTTCTTACTGTGTACCTCTTTGTCTCCTCTTAACACGGCCTTTATAATTTAACCAGCCTGATTCACTATTTGCCTTCTCACAGATCCCCCTCAAATCCCCACACAGTTGGAAGACATCAGGGCCTTGCTTTCAGCCACTGGACCGAACCTTCCTTCGGTACTGACATCTCCCCTGGGAACACAGCTGGTCCTGGATCCTGGGAATTCTGCTCTCCTTGGTGAGTCCAACCCTCTGGAACATTGGGCAGAAATCCAAGGCTGGACAGGATTTATGGATGGGTGACTGCTTGCAGGTGGGAGGGAGGCAGCAGTAGGGGGGTGGCCAACAGGAAATCACTAAATTGCCTACAGAATCCAGACTCACCAGTGGAAACTTGGCTGACTTTCCGTATGAGGTGAGTGCCGTTCTTAGTCTGGACTCTAGCTTGTCTAGATTCCAATGTGGCTCCTTTCCGAATCCTTTTGGGCTACTGCCATGGTCCAGATCCTCTCAATCAGATTCAGTCACTGAACCTTGAGGAAGATACAGCAGTAAAGAACAGCTCCTGTATCTCTTGTCCCCTTGCCAATAGTTTCGTGGTACTTACTATGGCTTCTTCCCACCTAAACTAAAGCTATCATCAGTTTTCAAGGAGAAACCTGTGAGATCACACACACACACACACACGCACACACATATACACATATAGACACATATACACACATACACATATACACATACACACACATATACACGCATGTATGAGTGCACACACACACACACACACACACACATACCCCAAATTCAGACTATTTAAGCAAGACTTCTCCAAGTTGTCACTAAATCCATCCCAGAAAGACTATCAAGATATGTATTTAAATCATTTCACTAGGTAATACTTCCTGGGGGCTGTTATTCATAACGTTCACAAAGTTATTGCCAATATGGCTGTGTCTCTCTTAGGCAGAATAGTTCAGGGCTTCCAAGTCCAGAGTGTCTCACATAAGGATCATGGACATTTCAGAGGAGCCTCTAAATACCCATCATGATCTATATAGTTAGAGATAAACCCATCTACCTTCAGGTTTGGGAATGGGGGAGTTAGAGACCTACAAAATGGAGAAAACCTTCATGCTAATTCTATGTGACCAAAACATCAGGTAACAATAGCTAGAATTCATCCCTTAGCTTGAAGCTGAAAGTTTGTCTTCTCCCCACTACCTAGCATGGAGTGTGAGGCTACTGAGTTCCCAGTCATACTGAGAGTAACTTATCAACATAGTCCCAGGGCCAGTATCTTCAGGATTACAATAAGGGAAGGTTATGTTTCATTTTCATTGTCATCTTAAATTAGCAACAAATGCTTAGGAGCATCTGGAAAAGTTTCTAATTTCTGTATTTCTGATCTGGGTTAAAAATAAGACACAGATATAATAACAAGTAGCCCTATTCTGTTTCCCATAACTTATACAAGCTTGGCATTGAGTTTTTCCACATCATGTTGATCAAAATTCATGGAAGTTTCAAATTGCATATTTTCTTTGGCTAGTATATGGTAAACTTATTCCAAATTAAATATGTGCATTGTAAACTTTTTAAAAAATTTTAGATGCATCACTATGAGAAATTGTTATAACTATTAATCATATCCCAGATACTGGCAAGTGGGTTATGCAGCAATTGTTTATTTTCAAGTTCAATAATTCTTTGGGTCACTCAGGTGTCATTCAGCATGCTGGAAAAGTTAACCTGCTCATATTTTTCCATGATAGCTTTACTCCCTTTCTCCCTTATTCTGGAATAATATTTTGTCTCATTTTAGCCGTGGGCAATAAGAATTTATTGTGCTTTATGCTGCTGCATTCCATTGCTAGTTTATGGTGCTTTGTTACCTTAGACTGGTATTTAAATCTCACAGTTGAGAGACACCTTAATACCCCAGTTCACATTCAGACTACTACATTTGAATGAGACAGCAAGTCAATATCCATAAAGCCCCTGTGTGTAACTGCCTGGGCAAGCAGGACTCTAGTGGAGAAGACTGGTGTCTCGCCAGCAGTGTAGAACTAGGAGAGATTCCACATGGAATTGTGGAGATGAATTAGGTAATGATGTCAGGTATCAGGACTCTGAGAAGTAGGTCATTTGAGACAGGCCTGAGCCTCACCATGAGGCTATGGAGTTGAGCACTAAAAGATGGGAGAGATTAAAATAGGCAGAAAGAAAGGGAAGCAGGCACTCATAGTGACAAAGATGCTGTGAGCCTGAAGATGAGAATATGTGGAATATGTATCAGGTGTCTATTTAGAAACAGCTGTAAGAGGCCACTGCTTTGAACTAAGAATGGTCAGCTAAACTGGGAATAGCAGGAGTAAGCCTCAGCCAGAGCTGGTCAACTCAACGTTTAGATCAGACCTTTAGCCCAACATTGCACTGCTTTCCTCTGCTTGAGAATCCCCACTAGTGACTCCTCCAGTTCTGTAGTGAAGCTGCTCCTGTTTAGACTTGTTCACATTTTTGACCTGGGAGAGGTCCTTTTAGAGCAACAGTATAGTATGTCTGGGTATAATAAACAAGTCAGGCAGCAGAACCAGAAGCTTTGTCTATTGAACTGAGCTTACCTGGAGGAGGGGAGAAATGGGAGAGGTTCCTGGGACATCTGTGAAGGGACTTGAACACTCGTGTGGTGGGTTTGGGATTGGAGCAATGTAAACATGAAACCATCATTGACAGTACTACAAATCTTAGTACCTCAGTGAAAATGTAGGCAGGATGATAAAAAAAATAGGTCAGGGAAGACAAAATGCTGAATGGCATGAAATTGTGGAGGACCTTGATTATTAGATTAATAAAGATTTAATATGTAGGATGTGGAGATGACATACCTTAAGAGTTGGGTTTTTTTCTTAGCTACACCCAACTATGCTCAGGGCTTACTCCCAATTTTATGCTCAAGGGTCACTCTTAATGGGCCGCAGAGAGAATAATATGGGGGTCCAGGGATTGAACCCATGCTGGTGCCATGCAAGGCAAGCTCCCTACTTACTGTACTAAACTTTTTAAACTTTCTAAAGTTTTTAGAGAATGATACAAATTAATAATTGAAATAATCTGGTATTCTGTAAGAATAATCAGTAGTGTTAGATAGTAAAAGAACCAGCATTATTCTGAGGTAACTAGATGTTCTACGTATTTCTAATACTTGAAACACAAATTTCCTTGTCAGTTATTTTTAAAATTGAAGTCTAGTTATAGAATTGATGTATGAATAGCTTACAAGTTATGAATGAATAGTTGTGTCATTATGGGAATCATTCATTTTAGGGTTGAGTTTAGGCTTAAGTACACGGTTTCTGCTGGTTTACTATAAGTTTCATTTAGGGTTTTGATTCATGCTTGTTTTGACATACAAAGTGTGGATCTTTTTTAGATAAGTGCTATGTGAAACTGAACCAATGTGTATTACATGAAACGCCAACTTATTGTTCATGTTTAAAATGCAAGTCTCTATGTAGAGTTGAGTTATAAATAGCTTATGCAATATGACTAGATGTTTGTATAATTAAGGACATTAATGTTTGTTTGCTAGTTTAGCTATAAGTATCATTTAAGTTTTGCTTAACGGTTGTTTTGAAGTAGAGTTGCGATTCTATTAAGATACGTACAATGTGTTCCTGAACCTAACTTAATAAAGCAACAGCAGGAAAAAAAAATAGATGTTCTAGACCAGACCATGTGACAAAAATACCACTAAATCCTCCTACTGCCAAGACATCCAAGTATATTGTGACTTTCTTTCTCACTCAGTCCAGGTGCTGCCTTAAAATTTAACATTCCCACCAAGTATGGTGGCAGCTAATGTACAGAATGAAAACCATATGCCAACGCTGTTGTAATCAGTAAGTGGTGAGATTCCAGGGTGTGTATTTCTCCCATCTAAAAGGTTATGACTACAACAGATTCAGAGAACTTCACAGTTCTGTGCCACAGAGACAATAACTTGCATGTCTTAGTTCTTATGTTCTCTTGGGGGAAAGATGAGGAAGATGGTTTTAGGATTTTATAGTCACATATGAAAGCTAACTCTTCTCCATTAAGGCTCAAGTGTTGAAACTCTCAGTTGGCAAGCCTATTCCAGAAATGGCTCTCTTAGTGTGAAGATACTCTGGCATTGATTTCGCTTCAGGTTCACAAAATTGCGTTGATTGAATAGCATATGCATGAGCCTATCTGGGCCTGATTTTCAACAAATTGTTAAACAATTTCTATTGTAATAATGAGTGTGCAGGAATTAAGGTCCTTGCTTACACACAGTCAACCCAGGTTCAATCCGTATATGGTCGACTGACCCACCAATAATGATTTCTTAGTACAGAGCTAGGAATAAACTCTGAGCACAGACTGATGTAGCCCCAAAACCAAAATACAAAAAAAAAATCCACTCTAATCAAGGTTTTATTTCGCCCCACAAAATGCTAATGCTAGTGCCTTATAAATTATATTATGAAAATTATTCTTGGGTCCTAATAATCAAAATATTTTAACAGATTATTGCAGAAATATCCACATGCTGTGATACCTCTTTTTTGGTATCTACCCTACCCCGAACTCAAAACATTTGAAAGGATATATATACACACCTATGTTCAATGCAGCACTTAGTACAAAAGTTAGGATTTGTAAACAACTCAAATGCCCAACTATGAATGGACAGATCAAGAAATTTGTGGATGAAATATTATGCATCTGTAAGAAAGGACAAAATTGTATAATTTGCTGAGACATGGATGCAACTAGAAGATATATTGATAGACATCACTCCGAAGGAAAGGAATAGATACAGAGTGATATCTCTCACATGTGGGTCTTAAAGATATACAGTAAACTAGCAAAAAAAAGGGCTAAAGACGACATAACTAGAGAGTTGGTTCACCAAATTGAGTGTGTATCTGGTGTCTTTCAAAGAGCATATTTTAGTTTTGATGAAATTTAACACTAAATTTCTTCTTTTGTGTTTCATTTTCTATTGTATTAAATCAATCTTTACCTACTCCAAAGTCTTGAAGATTTGCTGTCATGGTTTTCTTCTAGAAATTTTACAGCTAACTTGTTTTAAGTTAGCTTTTATGCATAAGAGTGTGTTATATAGTGAAGTGCATGTTTATGCACATATTCCACTACCATTGTTCAAAGATTATTCTTTCTCCACTAATAGTTCTGTGTATCTTTGTGAAAATA